CGATAATGTGGCCCTGAAACTAAGATATCCATAAAAACAGGGAACTTAGGGAATTTTGTGTAAGAACACAGGGATCAGGCTGAATCTGATCTACCTGAAACACACACCACTCACACATTTGCATGAAAGCAAAACTCCTATATAAGAATTTTCCTCATAAGTGTGTGTGACCCCTGGCACCTACAGGGCCTCCCTCTTAACACCCCTGAATATCTAATATCAGGAAGTACATTATTAAGTTTCAGTCTGGCTGGATTAATTTCCTTTTGGCATGTCTGCATGGACACAACCTTGAACAGGCCACCAGCTTATTTGGTGGATGTCGAGTGTGTTTTTAAAAGGGAAACCTCACTGGCCTTAAACTATCTAAAACTATTTGACCATACCAGCTAAATGTTTCACTTTTTTACATACATAAAACAAAAGAAAGTGGTGTTTTTGCAGTGTGGTTGTTGGATACACGGTGGAATGAAGAGGAATGCTGGTTGGTCAAAAGGCCTTTCACAACCAGATGTTTTCAGTTATTCTGGCATGTTGGACCTCTGATCAGGTTAAAGTTGGGTGGAGCTGAGAGTTCCCTGAGGTCACCAAACTAAATTAGCATTACAAACAAAAGGCTGTCCTACCCTAACAGGTGCAACAAAGCTAACAGGGAAATCAGGGACATGAAAGCATCAATGAAGGAGTGACAGTCTCTGGGGATACATCAGTGGAAGATTTTTGCCTTATGGATGCATTTGGGACCTAGGTTAAAAATTAAAGCTGATGTCTCACAGAAACCTTAAGGTGCTGTTTTTTTTACTCCAGGACTGGATTGATCATTGCTTTGTTGACATTGGATTGTTTGAGGTACAGACCCCACTGCTGTATGTGCACATTTGTACAAATTGCAAAATCAACCTTTTATCTTTTTTCTTCTGACCTTATTAAAAAATGTTAACCTTTCCATTTGCCACAAAAGGTTTAATAATAATACTATCAATAATAATGTGCCAAAACACAGAAATTACCATAAAGCATTGTTATTACACCAAATAAGGAAATATTTATTCTTATTTTATATTAGTGTCATATGGGCTATGTATGAAATATATATATATATAAGCCTGACATTTGTTTGACAGTATGTTATATATCATTTGGGGTCAGACTCCAGAGAAGTGTGACTCCCTGTTAGTCTTCTTTAAAATCTTAAAACTCCAATAATGAAATTACAAATAGGCTTATTTGGGATTAGGGAGGGTAGGGTAGGAAAAGTACAAAGCTTTAGACCTCTTTTTACCCTCTGTTAATTATTTTTTAACTCCTAGGAGTGGTAAATACATGGAATGTGTATATATATATACAATATAAATATTGTTCACAAATCTGTCAAAATCTGTCTTAGTGAGCACTTCTCCTTTGCTGAGATTATCCATATCAAGATGCTGATCAGACAGCATGGGTGTTGCACAGGTTTGCCTTAGGCTGGCCACAATAAAAGGCCACACATCTAGTGAAGTCAAAACTTGTAAAGTGAAGTGGCACAGAACAATTACTCCAGTGGCCACAGCTTAATGCACACTGACCCCTAGTGAACAATCTGCAGAAGTGATTCAGGCATGCTGAGGCATTAAGCACGTGGCTGTTCCTTCTCAAGATGAGGAAATGATAGTGAAATACAGGGCTTGTATTAAGTAAAATTATGTTAATGTTTTATGAATACTTTTGGAATATCAAAGAAGGCGTATGTTTAGCCTTATCTTACTCCTTTTAGTGGAATTCCACAAATCAATACTGAAGCTGAACAACAACCATGACCACGTGAAGAAACACAAAAACAGGCACAGCAACATCAATGGTGGGATGTTCAATTGGTGACACCCTTCTAATGGCAGGAAGTGACAGGATTAACAAGATTGTAAACATATACCTTAATAACTATTTTTGATTTCATTAAAACTTGTAATAACATGCCTATTAAAGTGTAAAGTAAAGTGCAGAGTAAAGTTCTCATGTAAAAACATTTTGCCATATTGAGCTTTGTGCTGGTTGTTATGCTATTAAATCATTATTAACTTATTAAATCAAATGCAAATGAGCATAGTTAATGTTTCATAGAGCGGTTTTAGTAAAGACTATGCACACTAAAGCAAGGACACACCCAACTTGGTAGAGCACACGAACACAAGGTACAAGGTAGTTTATCTGCAACACAAGGTTGTATAACGAAAAGAAAGTTTGTAGTCCCTTGATGCTACACACACAACACTAAACAGATAATTAAATGTATATTAAAATATGGTACCATATAAAATAAAAAAAATAAAACAAGATTTATTACAGTTATTTATATAGGCCTACATTCCGCAGTGCATTTTTTGAATTTGTGTCAGTGGAGAATGTAAATAGCAGCAACAAGATGATGATTTTCATCTTCACATACAAAAGTCTGACTTTTGGAAACAGTGTCCACTCTGACTGTGTTGGAGCACCAAGCATCATTGATGTACACAGTTGAGTCCACCTCCTCTCATCTTGCCGGAGTCTTGCGCTTGATTTGGGATATTGATGAGCTGTAAAGATGTGGGGACAACGGTATTGGATTGCTTGTCCAACCTGGGTCCCATTTTGTCACTTTTGAACACGTATTTTGGAGTTCAACACTGCAGAGACCTGACTTTAACTCCCAGCAACGGGGCCTCAAGTATGACCAGGCTGTTCAGTCAACACAAGTGGCAGTTTTTACTGGGGAGACATAAGTGAGGGTCCGGGTTTGAAAGTCTTCTACTGTATTAAGGTAGCAGCCAAAATGTCAGAGAAAATAAACCCAGAAAAAATATGCATAGCTAGATATTACTAAAGATAAGACACTAGTGATTCCCTTACAAGTGTCCCACCCTACAAAGAGAAAGCCACACTTTTTCTGCCAGTGCACCACACTTAGCCACAGCTTGCGTTATACTATAAGGTCAGTAGGGGGGCCCTCATCTTACAAACAGCTTTGCACAGGCAAATCCACTACTGCACAGTGGCTTGGGATATAGTTAAAGACCAAAGCATGTTATCTGTGACAATGCAGGGATACAGAGTAACTGTCTCTGGGCAACTATAGCTTGCATTAGGCACACTTGTAAAATCTGCAGTCTTGTTCATCAGATCAAGCAGTGAGTAGTTGAGCAGAGAAAGATCACACACAAATGTCAGGCAACTCCACAGCACAGAGACTTGCTAACAAGACATGGGCAAAAAGCACACCTTTACAACATTACAAAGAATCTGAAAAAGTGTGATGAGGAACTTAGCCCCCCCACGTACTTTGCCTACAGTAATGCAAATATCTAGCATCACACACACAACTTAAAACCATTCAGTCACACATTTCACACACTGATAATGGCGCGCCATTTTGTTAAAAACAGACCAATCCATCTGGGAACTGACTTCTGGTTTTGGATAAAAGAGTGGACCTACAGCACTATATCAGACATAACAACTACTGACAGTCCTACTGTGTAAAGCAAGGTGCTGCAACAACTATCTTTATGGTGGGACAGCCTGACACAGAATCTACTAACAAGGATCCAGTTCCAGAAGAAGTCTGACAAATGCACTGTTTTAGCCATGCTAGCGACATGGCTCTAGGAATTGGTCACTCAGTTGCTCCACCTCTTTGGTCCAGACTAAAATAACTCAACAGCTTAAGGATGGATTGTCAGCCATGGTCCCCAGACGATGAAGCCCTCGGAATTTGATTTTCCCTACCACCAGCAGCAGGTCAAAATTCTCATTGTCTTGATAAATATCTCGACTTCTATAAGTTGACTGGCTCAAGATTGTGTACAGATTTTCATGGTTCTTAAACAATGAACTTCCCATCAACACACACCTGGTGGAAAGCCTTCTCAGAAGAGTTGAAGCTGTTATAGCTGGGTGGGCCAACTCCATATGAAACCCTACGGATTAAGAATGGGATGTCATTAACCTTCATGTGCGGGTAAAGGCAGGCGACCCAAAACCTTTCGGCAATATAGTGTCTCTCAAACGTTGGATGGATTGCCATGTAATTTGGTACACACACATTCATGCCCCTAACACGATACTAGGTGCGTTTGACTTCATGCAGCGCTGAAGCAACATAAGGCATGCTGGTTAGAAATTGCATCTACAAATCGTCATTAAAACCTCGAGGGAGCAAAGCGGCTGTAGTTGCTTTTTTGCGGCTGCACGAAGTTGGAAACACACTCGTGCCTTGTCTCGCTGCATTTTTCTTTGCAAATGCCTCGAGATCAGTCATTGATCTCAGCTCACAGTAGTGATCCCTTGACTTTTCACCTTGCACCATCAACAGGTCAAACTTTTTATTTGTCCTATGCAAAACTAATGACAATCCCATCAGCCTCAGCTGCACTTTGTTTTTAGTGCTAATTAGCACGTTAGCATGCTAACACACTAAACTAAGATGGTGAACTTGTTTAACATTATACCTGGATGTTTGTATTATCATTTTGAGCATGTTAGCATGATGATGTTAGCATTTAGATCAAAGCACCACTGGCCAAAGTATATTCATGGGAAGTGTGTATCTTGTGATTTTTCTGTAACAAAGTAAAATATTACGTAAAAAAAAAGAAATAAGAAAATTCTTGAAAATTAAACACTAAACTGGCAATGTATGAAAAAATGTGGCACAAAGTATTTTGATAGTAAATACAATATTATAGAATTTCATTAACTTGCAACCGCTATTAACAAATTTAAAGCTATAGTTCCACGTTTTGGGAAATACATGTAATTGCTTTCTTGCAGTTAAATATGAAGCCCCTATAAACAGCCAGTTAGCATAGCTTAGCATTAAGCTTGGAAGTCGGGGGTAACACCTACCCAGGCTCTGTGTAAAGACAAAATAATTAAATTGCCAGCATCTCTAAAGCTCTGTATTTAACATGTTGTAATTATAATGTGTAACATTGAAACACCGTAACAGTTGAATCAACAGTAAGCACTGTGCAGGCATATGAAAAAAGCTTCATGGGGACTGCCGTATTTATTTTGTTTTTTCCACATACATAAAACCATATGTGCACTGTAGCCAAAAATGCCTGTATATACAAAAAAACAAAATCGATATACACAAAATAATTATAATACAAGAGGGGAAAAATCCTTCAGTAATCCTTACAACAACATTGCAAGTACGAACAAAACATCTTTTTTTGACACCTTGTAAAGTTTTTGTGCAGATATTCTTTCTTTATATTATTACAAGGAAATAAAGTGTTTGTATATTACAAAGCCCAGATTCTCTGGGTGTATGAGGGTAAAAAAAAACAAACTATAAGCTTTCTGAGGATTCATCAATGAAACCTTATTTCACGCACTACACCATTACTTACCTTCAGTGCATAAAATGTATCTATTAAACACTAATTACAAATGTAACTGAAGTAAATCAAGTCGTCCTCGCAAGTTTTTTTTTTTTTCTGGTTAGCAAAATGGTATGGCGTGTGTGATTTCAAATATAAGTGTGTTATTTAACTTAAATCAACAAAAGGATAAATCCAAACTCTTGTAGTGTTTCCATCCAAAACCAGATGGACTGACATACGTTATCGCCCAAAGACCGGGGCGAAAAACTAACAACGCATCTCAGATGAAAATGCTGATGTAGATCTACAGACTGCATCCTCATGAAAACACTGTTTAACGGTGTATCTAACTGGAACAAGTGATGCCGGGATTCAAACTAATTTCAAACTCTTAATATCAGAGCAGCAAATTCAAGTTCTTCCACAGCTTCTCAGAGATCACTTCTAAACAGCAGGTGTGAGAAGCAACACAGAGCTACCAGGAACATCTCTCTAAAGACAGAGAACATGGGGGCAGTTGTTATTGTGTGCGGGTGTATTTCCTTCTGAATAGAGAGACAATTTTTGCCAAAACAATGAAATTCTAATGCAATGCATTATCAAGATTCCTGGCTGAAAGAGAACCGTAGTTTTGAAAAACACTTTTCAGTTAGTTGATATGGTTGTAAAATTTTAGGAATAATTTGTAGTGTACAAATGCATCATCTAGATTCAACCAGGCAATATTTTAAAGGCATAGAGATGGGCAGTGCTGCTTTACTTAGAGAAAATGGTGAGTGAAAGTGAGATTAACCCAGCCTCTGTGTCTCTGTGTGTGTGTGTGTGTGTGTGTGTGTGTGTGTGTGTGTGTGTGTGTGTGTGTGTGTGTGTAAATCTGAAAAAATGATCGTAATCGTAACTGCCCATCTACACAGCCTCAAAATATTAGCCTTACACTTGACTAAATGCTTATCTTTAATATGGTTAGCTGTAAAACTGAAATTAAAGTTGTATGTACTATCCAAATGTGGCTTTTGGGATTTCTATCCAACATTGCCAGTCACTAGTAGTGATTTTATTATGGTAAAACTAGTGATCTTTTCATGCTCCCGGAAAGTACACCGACAATGAAATGAGAAACATCTGTGGTAATTTAAAACTCAGTCGTCCCTGTTGATGTTGAATGATTCCCAACTGCTGAAACTGCTGACTGATAGAAGGGTGCAATAACCTGGTAAAGCCCGAGTGTATAACGAATATACTGAAAAAATAAAAACATGCAAACAATGTCGATGTCCCAGATTTTATCCAGAAAAAGCTCAGAGCTTGAATATTCAGAGAGGTGTTCGAGTCTGATGGTAAACAAGGTTTTGCAGAAGAAGCCCATCACATGCTGAGCTGGAGCCACTGTCACGTGGGCTGTTGGTCCAAAACATTTTCTCCCAGTGCTGGTCCCACATTCAAGGAACTTCTGGACCATTGTCAATGATCTGCAATGATTTATTACCATCTGAAAAAAATAAGACTTTGCTGCCTGACATTTTGCCTCTGTAGATAGCAGTGTTGTTCACCATTTGAGAGCAAAGGAGGGAGGAGAGAAAAAATATAATACTTTTTGCCAGTAGCAGCTACTTTGATGATCAGTTTTTATGTGAAATACTATTTAAAACAAACTTTCCATGTCCGCCAGGCTGGAATAAGTGGTAAAATAAATTATTTTTTTTGCTGACACATATTTATATTCTTGCATGTGTGTGTATGTACTGTGTGTGTGTCTGCTGATTCTCATTGTGGAGCCAGTTATTTATCCGAGCAGCAGCCCCGACAGGGCGTTCAGGTCTCTCATGTACGGGTTGTCGCTGAGGATGCGGTCGATCCGTTGCTTCTGGTCCGGGAATATGTCGTACAGCTTCCGTTTCAACTCTGACGTCTCCCCCGGTGACCGCTGGGGAGGTGGTGAGGGTGAGGGGGAAGGGGAACGGCGGGGCGGGTGCCATTCGGGGGGACCAGAGTGGGGCCACTGTGCAGTGGGGAGGAGGGGCCATGGCGTGGAGGCTGGGGTCCGAGGAGCAGAGTGCAGGGCCTGGACGTAAACTGGCTGCTGCTGCTGGGAGGATGGCCGCAAGTCTGGGGGTCTCAGAGGGGGAGGAGTGACTGGAGCCCTCCTGACAGAATAAGGGGGGGGAGAGAGAGAGAGAGAGAGAGAGATGCAACAGACCAGTCATTTACTGCAACACATGCCACAGCAATAATTATTTATCAAGTATTTACATGTCACCTAGAATCAGAAAAAGACTGATATCACAGGTTTCCTCTGGGCCCTAACCTTCCACACATATGCAGGTAAAACATACCTGTGGTCTTTACGCAGGAAGATGTCGATATGAGGTCCGTATTTCCCCAGAGGGTCATCAGGGATCATGAAGTGGTCCTCCACAAAAGTAAACTGAAGCAACCTAGGAAAGAAAGAGCACACACATTAGTTAAATCAACTGTAATTGTCTTGGCACTATTAAATTCTCATACAAAAAACAAAAAGTAAAATCACAATGAACCTGCAAAACGTTATAGAAATTTCATCTGCTCATGATTAAAAAAAAAAAAAGACAGATAGCACCTGAAAGCAAACATTTTCTTTCTATTAGCATTTATTTGATCTTCAGTTTCTGTTTGTTCTTCTACAAGATTGTTTGGTACATGTAAATAAACTGGATAAACTAAATAAAAACTACATTCTTAACATCAACGTCATCGAGCTGGCAATCCGCCTCAGTGGACTTTCCAGTATCATGTTGGGTAATGGAACGTATACGTGAATGACTGACTGAGCAGCATACATAACAACCAATCACCTCTCTTGAATGATCTTGCGCCAGGTGTCTGATGTGTCGACAAAGTCCCTGAGGTTGTCATTGGTTACGATGATCCCGTCAGTTTTTTCTGCTAGGTGGAGCAGGAACCTGAAACAGAGAGAGAGAGAAAACTTTCCTTGTGTTCAAAGGTCAGAGGCTCGTTCCCTGCTCGGACGCTGCCGTCCACAGAAGGGAATCCACTGGTAGAGCAGGGGAGGAGGCAGACGTTAACATTTTTCAAGCCGTTATAGCGGAGATAACAGAAATGCCTAAAAATCTGTACACAACTTGGGAAAAACATGATAGTTGCCCAGAAAAACAAATCATCCTGTTACAGCCCACATCCTATTTTGTATCTTTTTTTTCAATCTTCTTCATCTTTGTGAAACCATAAACAACAAATGTTCAGGATGACTAATTTTCACTTCTGCTACCTAAAAACAGGTAATGTTACTGTTTTTAAGTTAAATAGAATGTGGCATGAACAGCATTACTATTCTTGAAACCTATGTTTGTTATACTGTGCTGGAGAAGAGTTCACAGAATGAATGTTTAGCTGAGAAATCTGCAACATTTGAATCCATTCCATGAAAATCTGGGCTGCTCTTACAGCAAATCAAAGATCTCCAACAGTGCCAAGTCAATATGGTCTTCGATACTCTGAAGTGATTTTACTATTTTTACTACTACTCATAATGGAACTAAAATGTACAGAGATAACTGAGTGGCTCAATCACTGGCTCGGGAGAAGCATGTGTTCATCACCACAGCTCTACGATGTCACCTCTCGGTCTGCCTGCTTACTGCTGTCAAGATATAAAGAATTCAAGATAGGTGGACTCTCCTTGAAAGTTGACTGTTTTTTTAATAGTTTAAGACTGCGTGCGTGCGTGTCTACCTGTCGTCATGTGAGGATATCCTCTGGCCACAGACCTCCCTGGAGGGAGTGAAGGAGAGCAATCTCAGGTCTTCTAGCTGGTTTAGAAAATGTTGCTCTGAAATAAAACAATTATCCTAAAATTACATGATAATAAAACGGTTGAAAAAGTTGGTTCAAAGGGTTTATTAATTCACTAATTCCGTTATTAGTTGTTTTTTTTACCAGGAGGCCTAAAACTTACAACACCATATTAAATTTCCACTTTTAACCGGATAAAGAACACTTAAAGAATGTTTTAAGATTTGGTTTTGGCTCTGTACCCGACCACTGTATTTGCAATGGAACGGTACACTATATGGTTATAGTGTTGACTTCAGCTTCAATTTGACACAGCTTACAGTGCGTATGAAAAGGTCGGTACCCTTGTTATACACACTCAAACACCATTAAAAATGAATGTCAGTACTTTAACCTCATTACAAGTAAAGAGCCAAAATAATGAAAAACATATTACTGTCCCTTATGTTGAAGACTGCCCTGTATACACATGCAAATGTACAAATGTACCTGTTGTGAGTCGGTCTCTCTTCTGACGCCACTGAGGGACAAATACAGTGATCTCTCTGTGGCCCCGCCTCCAAAACGTCTCCACAGCCAGTGCTATTCCTCGACATGAGAAGAACCGATGAAGGCCATGCCTGGAGAGATGGGGGACGAAAAGAAACATGTAGATAAATCATGTCTGACGACACTACAGTTTGCACTGATTGTCTGAACCGCTGAGGTCCATGACTGTTAAAAATGGATGTCAATTTCTGTAGCATAAATGTGGGTTTAAGTAAAGAAAACAATCTTTGTATTGCACACCGGGTTTCCAGTGACATGACAAGTGAGTTAATCAGTGAGGAGAAACAAGGCTGCACATGAGTGTCTCTGCTGTCTGTCTTGGCGGGCCACCAATTCAGTTTTTAGTGCTACTGTGATCTCTGGCCTCCCTAACATTTTGTCTATCCTGCACCAAGGGCTCCTCTGGACAATATGGACTCAGAATACATATGAAAAACAAGAAAAAACATGGGAAAAAACAAAGAATTACGCAAATAGGGCAGTGCTGCAAGCGATGAAATTTCATCATGTCGTAACGAGGTGACCAAGTGACAAGTTCAGAATATTTTAAATATTAGCAAGTCATACTGGTCTCAATGGTTTCCCTGGCAACTGATTTTAATAGTACAGTGGAAACTGCTAATAGTGATCTCGTTTCCATTTATAGTGATTAAAAAGCTTCAGACAGAAAAATTCCCACAAATGCTGCTTAAATAATTTGCTTATAGCAATGAAGAAGTCCCCATACGGTACCATACCTGAACTACGGATGTTACTGTATTTGTAAACACCACAATCCTGTTTTAGGCTATAGACCAATTTGAACTTGAACCACAGTAAGATATATTTATATACAGTACTGTATTACTGTACTGTCAGTGTATTTGAATTATACACAGGGCAGTAGTTAATTTGTGCTGTAAGTTTGAAACAGCTGAACTGTTTTGAACAGTCAAAAATAGTCAATAGGGACGGTGTCTGTTTCATTACTTTATATTCATGTAAGAAATATAGAAATGTCAATTAGATGGTAATCTGTATAAAAATTTTTTTAAAAAAAAGCCACAGACGTGATCACTACAAGAGGTTTCCACTGTAGTGAAAACAAAACAGCACCCAAAACACACACGCGTGCTGCATGTCATCAGCTGACCCAGATCGCTGGTGGTGACGTGTGTGCACGTCAGACGGCTGTTAAACAAAAATGGGTAGCTAGGACAGAAAACCACAAAACAACACAAACAAACAACAGATATGAGAAACTCCCTGAGAGCAGCCAGCCTCACTGAGCAGGGAGCTAGCGGCTGCTGCTACAAGCCAGAGAGCCAGAACACTAGTGATTATTATTTGAGTATTTGTTATTATCAACGCATTTAAGTTCTTTATTTCTCAGGTGGACGTGTTGAGGAAATTATGCCTCAAAACCCTTCTGTGCATCATCACCCTCAGGTTGAATGATTATCACTTTCAGAAAAACACATGTCTGCTCTGTTTATTCTATTTTTATGTTAGGGAAATCTTTGTCTCAAATCTGACACGTGCATTACATGAAGAGTTTTGTAACCATTAAACAGCAGAAAAACATGGCCGTCACAAGACCCTGTTTCTTCACAGATGGAAGACTCTAGACTGAATGGCACTAGATATGTCTACTGGAAAGTGGGGAGCATCAGTTTACTCTTTCATTTTCCTCATCTTGTAAAATTATTTCAGTTATGTCTCTACTGGTAACTTCCCATCGACTGGGTTACTTATCTTGATCAGCAATCTGGCCTCACATAAACTGTAGTGCAGCAGAGACGCACAGCAAGATCTGTGTGGCTGTGTGTTACACAAAATATGCAGCAAGTGACACAGGTCCCCCCTAAAAATGAAGCTAAAGTTAATCTATTTTGCTGCTGCTGAATATGGACGAGGTAAGTAGATAGAGTTGCTCTTCCTGAAAAATATTGTGGAAGTCACTATGAAGTTTGATATTGCTCAGGCTGCATCATCTGGCCTCAGTTAACCTTTTGATAAATAGTAGCAAAAGTGTCACTGCAGAAAAACACTCCCCCACTACTTGCACATGTAACTGATTACAAATTGCTTCTGTGACATGGCATTACGAGCCCATGTACAAACACACACATACACACAGTACAGAACAAGATCAGCTTGTGGTCAGAGTCGCAATGCAAACTCAAGGGAAGTTCCACCGACTGTTGCAGGAGAAAGTGATGAGTGATGAGGAAGAGATTATGCCGCAGTAAAATCACCATGAGAACTGGACGTAACCTGACAGGAAAAAACATCTCCGAGCTCATTGGAATAAGTTTACATAAGCTAATGACCTAAAAATTAGGATTGGGACATGTCCTGATCCTCAAAACCGCACTAGGGACATCATCAATGTGAAGAAGTTAGGTGGGGGCTTTAGTTTTCAATAAACAAATACTTGATACACCTGAAATCCATGAAAATGTTTACTATATTCTGTTGTCTTGTTAGTAATATTAAAGAGTAGATGAAGGTAAGTTCTGTGGCATCAGACATAAAACTGCGTGTCTCACTTTGCAGGATTGGTCGAGACATAGGTGACCCATGCTTTTCTGTTTAGGCATACTTCTGGTAAGGAGTCAGGTAGGATGGAAGGGAAGCGGGAGGGTATAGTGGGAGTGCGAGAGAACGTGAAAGGAAGTGGCTGGCAAAAGTGAGAAGTCAAGTAAAGGTCATCCGGGAAAAAATTGTCAGCAGACAGTGAGGGAGGAAAAAGAAAAACAACAATCTGCGCTCCGTCCTTCCTTGTGTGACACCCTCTTTGTTGCACAATTTCTGGATTAAACAGAAACGACTTAACACCAATTTGTTTTTTACTAGAAAAGGCCTTTCTTCTCAAAAACACCTCCGTAGTACACCCCCACTCATCAATATCACGTTACAACTGCTTTCGCTCTGCTGGACGCACGCACACGCAAGCACGCACACACAAACAGTGATGAGTAACAACATTATGTGAATGCGTGGGATAGGTTTTGGTGCACCTACACAATAAGGTTGTAGCTGCAACCTACGCACTTTTAACAGGTGGTTTGTTTAGTTTGACAGTGTGTGATTGTGTGTGTGACCTTAAATGGTGATGATGCCAATGTTGATGGGAAGGGTGATGGCTTCATATGTAAAAAGGAAACATGTGGGGCATGCACTATAGCTGTGGTATTATAACTGGCATCAGAGGAGCTACAACTCTGTCTTTACACTCAAACTAGTAAGAAAAACATTTAAGAGTCATACAAGTTACATTATTCATTACCTCACCGGTAACAGCTCAAGCTTTGTTAAAAAGTGCCAGTAAACCCCAGACCCTTGTGGCCTGTCACTGCAAAACATCCATTTACCATTGCTATGGTTACACTCCAGGGGTTATTATATGCTTTGCATGTTAATACCAAATAAGAGATTCAGTAGTATGAGAGTGTTTCCCATGAGTCTGTATTCTGTGGTCGATTTTCACAGGCAGTTGAGGATAAAGAGAGTTTTTAATGACCTTAAATACAGCCCCCTGGACACCCTCAATTCCAAACCCATTATGAATTTGGCAGAATATCTTTCTACTGCCAGAGAGAAAGCAGAGACAAATCCTAACAAAGTACAGGCTCAGTGACTCACGTTCAGAAAAGGAAGACACGAAAAGAATCATGGCAACCAAAAGAAAACAGACTATATGGTCACTGTTCGACAGGTGAGGCTGAGACACAGGTGCAAGGACATTCACTTTAACAAGTTCAACTCTGTTATCTCAGATTTTAAGAGCTAAATGAGAGAGAGCGAGCAGCAGAAAGTAAAGGTGAAAGTTTGCAGTAAATAGTCAGTCTGGCAGTAAAAGTGCAGTGTCTGTAACAGTGTGTCCGTTAGCAAGTGCTGCAGCTTCTCGTGACCAAGAGAAGTCTGTCTGTTGTTTACCCAACTGCTGGAAAAGTGAAGGTCGCAAGCAAACATCTCCCCTGGCCTTTAGACTCCAGTCTGGAAGCTGAGCAGGAAAGGTACGCTTTTTGGCTGCTATGTAACTTAACATTAGCTAAATTTATAGGAAATAACTACAAGCTGCATGTCATAACCACCTACTTGTCCAGTGTTAGGGTACAAGCTTAGACTAAACTGTTGAAACACTCTGTGCTGTACACATCTTGATAGTTAAATTATATTGCAGTTTTCTGGTTTCTGTTAGGAAAAGAAAAGACGATTGTGACCATGTAGGAGCTGAAGTTAGTCAAACAAATCAGGGATGCAAAGGAGTCACCTTTAAGCTAAATAGGAGACTTCTTTTGGATTTTAATGTACAAATGAAATGCTTGGTAATTATGCAGAAGGGAGTGAATAAATTAGCTAGTTCTTACATGTTGCCTATTTTTTATATTAACTTCTACAAATAAATTAAGACACAAACATGTCATCCATCATGACTTTGAAGTCATATTAACAAGGTTTTCCCTGCCATTATTAGTTAGGTGGTGAGGATTTATTAGCTGCTCTAGCTTTTCCAACAATTGGTTCAGAGATATGGCAATAAAAAAACCAAAAAACAAAACACAGACAAAACTATTACAATTCTAAATTTCTCCATGTAACATGGTGTTATTATACAGCTTTTCTGCATTTTTGTTTTTCATGTTATATTTAAAAAAGTACCCGATGTGACACCAATATCCTCTGAGCTAAGCTACTGTTATGTGCACTGCACAAAAATAAACAAAAAATTCCCCAACAAAAACCACAATTCTGTCAGGTTGACACCTGATCAAGAGGTGTGATAAGAGCCCAAGCGCACAGATGAGAGATTTTTTTAACAGATGAAACTCACTTTTCTCTGTCTGAGGCGCTGAGTCTCAGAGACTTTATATGCATGTTTGCTTGGTCTTAGTCGATGAATATGATGTGAAACTGCAGGAGTTTTTGGGTTGACCCATTATTTCTGCACAGTGGAATCCACAGCAAAGGTGCTTCCGACTTTTCTTCTGCCATAGGAAAGTTTATCATTGGTGCCAACTCCCATGACACACCATTAAATATATCTGTTTAAACTATTTCTTAAAATTTGGCAAGAATAATTTGTGTGGATAGTCCTGTGTGGTATGAAAAGGCCACATTTTTTAATACAACGTAGTTCTCATAAATAACTGTAGGGACAGATGCTGCTTTATGCCTGTACAGTATTTCCGGGCAAAGAAAGCAAAACAGATTAAACTTGCAGGGGGTGTGTGTGCATGCGCAGTGCAGACTCACGCCATAGCCACATTGCTGCCATCAATGATGATATGTCTGAGCTCCTGACGTCCCGGCTCATTTGGCAGCTTCAGAGTGTACGGAGTCCTCAGTGACTGATGGAAACGAGCCAAGCCAGTTACCGGGGGCACCGGGGGGTCGTTTGCAGGAGGAGTCCTGGCTCCGACCCCATGAAACCCTATGTGGCTGATGGTCTGATAGGGAGAGGCAGAGGGCCGGGTGATGGGCTGAGCTGACTGAGGAGGACAATAATAATTATACCATGAGTGGGCATGTTTAAGATCACAGCTCATTCCAGTTTCATCCAGAAGTAAAACTGATTCTTTAAACATCTAGCCTTCAACAAGAGTTGATCATCAGTAGTAATAATAAAGCTAAAAATGGACTACTTGTGAAGTAATTCTAAGACCGCAGCTTTGTCAACATGTCAACCTGTGGGTTTAAAAAAAATAAAATAAAGTTCAGTCATCTTTTAATAACAATAAAAAACAAATCTTTTAACTTCATCTTCTCCTCCCTCTTTAAAAAATCTAGAATCTGTGAATGCAAATATTTTTCTTTTAGGTTTTTAAGGTTTAACTGCTCGACGCAGGATGTTTCCTACTTTACTGAAAAGTCCATTCTCAGTGTGTGCACACTGGAGGTTTTCATATCACACCACTATAAGTTTCACATTGGACCATGACGGGTTTCCTGATGTCACAAATCATCTCGGTGGTAAATGTCAAACTCAGATTAAACACAGAAAAATGTTCCTCCTTCACACATTAATTTGAACTCAGTCTTCTACTGTCAAGCATTCTGCACAGTGAAGATCAAACATCCATGTGAAACAATAAAAAGCACAACATAAGTGGAGGACCTCAAGGTAATACCTACACTGGGTGTTGATGCTAAGGAGGAGGTTGTGGCAGTTAGCCACTGAGGCGTGCTGCGCAACGCTGTCACACTCTCAACTTTGACGGATCCTCCTAAAGTCTGAGTCCCACCCCTCGACAGGTAGTCCCTCTGTGAGACGCCACCTGCTCCCCGCGCCAAGTAGTCTGTTCTGGATCCTGACTGGGTGTCCAGGTGGGCCACTGTCATTATCCGGGACGTCCTACTATCTGCTGTTTTGGTATTCATGGGGATGACATCATCGTCATCGTCAATGGTAATAACCTCGTAGTTTCCTGCTCCTCCCTGAGCACTAGAGCTCCTCTTGATAGTGATGGCCTGAAATGAGAGTCGGTATGATTTTATTTTTATTTTTGGGAGAAAAACGGCATGCATTACACAATTCTGTTGTCTAAATTAATGATGTAAAGTAAACACAATTTAAAAATCGCTCAGTGTTTCCCACAGAATGTTTACGTCGCTTTCCCCTTCAGTTCTCTTTTCCCCACACTTTCCCTCAAACCTACACCTCTGGTCTCAAACACACCGGCTTGACCCGCCTCTTTCTGTTCCTCTCTCTCTGAATGTGTCTGCTCTGCTGATTGTCTCCATCAGCAGTATGTTTTATAAAGTCGCTGAAAACACACAGAACTTGCTTTTTGGATTTTTCCATCCATGATTCTGTTTTTCTATTAGCAGGTGCGCCATATGTGTAGGAGGCTTGTTAATGATGTAGCCTATTGAAACCAACGTGCTGCCCAATAACATCTGCACTGGTGTGTTCGCTATTTGTTTACCTGGTGCTTGTAAAATACCCACTGTGTCTGCATCTTTTTACATAGTACCAGATAACATCTCTCTCGGTGCAAAATACTTAAATGGGTCGCCAAACATACCTGGATGGCTGGTAATATATCTGGGTGACCTGCCCAAGTAAAGTCTGTTTGTGGGGAAACACTGGCTCATTTAGCAAGTTTTGAAAGAAATTAGTCAAGAGTATTTGACATAGTTACATACATTACATAGTTATCATGCTGTAAAACACCACACATTTGTTAGCAAATATCAGTGTTCATCAATAGGAAAGCAATTTCTTATTGAATGTAACCATATTGGATCTTAAATATTGTTTTTGTTATCACAGAACACCTCATTTCATTGCTCATTTGGCTCATCCAGCTGGCCTCAAATATATCAGTAAACATCTCACGTATAAGCCATACGTGAGATGTTTACTGATATATTTGAGGCCAGCTGGATGAGCCAAATGAGCAATGAAATGAGGTGTTCTGTGATAACAAAAACAATATTTAAGATCCAGTAAGATGAGTCATAAGATATGAAGCAATTTAGTGGAAATGAGATCAGAGTACAGGGTAGAAGATAAAAAGGGAAGAAGAAGCGTCTGAAGAAACATTTAAGTGTCATGGGAGCTAAGATATGAGAGATGTAAATGTGAGGTGACAGATTAAACGAGGATTTCACAGGTGAGATGAAAAAAAGAACATGGTAAAGTACTTCAAGTTATATTATCTGAAATTTCTTGACACCATCTAGACTGAATTTCTCTGTGATTTCAAACCCTTTAAACACAGTCAGGAACTTAAAAATGGAGATTTGGTTCCCCTCATCTCACAGTCTTTCCCACATTAAATTTGAGTGTTTTATCAAAGAAAAAATAAATAATAACACTGAGAAGCAACAATCTTTCAGTGAAGGGGTGTACCTGCTGAGTGCTGGTCTCGCTGCCACTGCACTGCCTTCGATGGCCCAGACCGTTACTGCTGCCACCATGCTGGTTGGGCTTAATGTTCTCTTTGGACCTGCCCGGGTCTACTAATACTCGACTCAGCTCACGCTCCTTCTCTCTGAAACGAGAGACCGTAGAAGAGGACGACGACGATGAGGAGGGAGTGTCTGAGGAGCGTACAGAGTTCGACTGTCTTTCTTTTCCCCCTACTTTTCCCTCTTCATGAAGCTTGGTTTCCGCAACAATTTTCTCCAGAACGAGGAAGGTGTCTTCTGTCTGTCCCGTCTCCTTGACGACACGCTCCACCACTTCCTGCTGATAACCCATGGTTCTGAAGAAACCACAAAATTGGAACAATGCTTCATTTGGCAGGAAGAGCTAAAAAGAGTTTCACAATTCAGTCTCCAATACTTCAGAGAAGTATAAGGATACTAGGAAATGTTGACTAAAAAGATTGATTGGAGAAGTATAAATTGGGCTTAACTCAGTTTGCTGAAACCTCATGAGCTTCAGTTGAACATTAGCATGAATTTTTACACAGGACAATGACCACTATTTCTCACATTGAAATCAAAAAGGTATGTCCATGGCTTCATGGCCAACTACCACAAGTAAACCGATGACACAACGCATGCTATAGCGTAGTGTATGTGGCAGTATATACAGTATTATTTTTTATAGGCTAACTAATCGATAGAGGTCATGTGTTTTCTTTGGAATCAAACAGGCATGTGATTGGCATAGGACAAAAAAGCAGGAAAATAAACATAACACAAGAGCATACAACATGGTGCTGTTGTTTTCATTCAAAAACCTTGTGGAAGAAAATAGTCTCTAATGTGTTAATGATAAGTTTAACTCATCAATAATGCAACATCAATGCAGAACAATGAGTTCAACATTAAAAGTTTGCTGTAGCACGTCAAACTTTTTTTTTTAATTTTTTTTTTTTATTCAGCCCCATCCAGATAGGTCTGCTGACGAAAATGGCACATTGACGTTTTGAAAAGTTGAACATGTTTCAAGAAAAGGCATCTGATATAGCGAAATGGGCAGCTAGCCAAATCTAAACCTTCCTTATCTTTTCACAATTTTCTTGTCTCACCGGTTCAGCTGCATTGGATGCATCTTTGTTGCTGTTTTTGTAAAATGAGCTACTCGAGCGGCCGCAGAGCGACCGGACAGTCTGACTATTGGTGGCTTCACTGTCTCCACCGTGACCTCTCTGCTGTCTGTGATGTACAAACTGAGCTCCGCCCTCGGTCAAATGCACAGAGGAGAGGACAGAGCAGCATAGCAACATATTTTTCAGATCTGCATGATTCACGCGGGTCACATTTTCAGGTCGGGAAATCCGGGAAAATCACAATCCTGATTAGTGTTATTGAAACTAATTTCCATGACTTTTCCAGGTTTTTCATGACAGTATGAGCCCCATCCCTAATAGCACATCTGTAATAACGACAAACAGTTCAAACTATTATGACCTTTACCTGAAGAAGTTGACCAAGCAGCGGAGGTTGGTTTCTGGACTGACTGCCTCACTGTCATCTGAGACTCCTTCACTGGCGTCCAACATGATCGGACCGCCAACCGTGTTTGCTTTAGATGAAGAGGAGAGGGATGATGAAGCAGAGGGGGTTTTGGATCGACAGCTGCTACTGCTCCCCCTGCCCTCTCTGTCCCTCTGTCGCTCCCGCTCTCTCGCTCTCTCCGGCGACTCCTCCCTCCGCTCCAGAGAATACTGTCTCTTTGTGTCCCGAGTCTCGCTCTCAGATGAGCGCCGCTTGTGTGAGGGCCGAGTGCCGTTGAGCAGGACCGCCTCAGGACATAAGCCCATCACTCCTCCTGCTTTACTACCTCCAATGACAGATGCTGCTCCGGCCCCTCTCTCTTCAAAGCTGGTGTCAAGGATGCGGTTGGAGAGCTCCGTCACAGGGGTGCTACTCTGTGAGCGGTCCTGATCGACCTCTGCCATGCTGGAATACAGCGTCTGGTTAAGCTGAACCTGGGAGAGAAACACAAAGCATTTACATGTTTGTAAGTTTAATTCTACTTAAATTTTTAAATGCACGTTAAAATGAAATCTATTGTCAAAGCAGTACGACAGAAACTACACATCTATGTCATAAGATCAGACAGTCCTTATTTGTCACTGAAATGTTTCACCATGTAATGGCAGTTAGTTTTAACACGAGCGGGAATGCTCAACTTCCTCAAAACCTTGTATGGCCTTATGTTTATACACTCTGTAATATTTAATTTCTACATCAGGCCACAACATTGATAGAACAATGTCAGGTGTCACACATGTCTCAGGCTTTGTTGAGTCTCAGAAATGTTCTTGGAGATAAGAGTTTTCTATAGAACAGGAATGATAACAATCTGCCTTGTTGTGACCAATATAAAAAGGTATCCTCCGGCCAAGGACAAACTGGCCTTCACAGCAGTGGTGTAGGCAGCAAAAAAACAAATGAAGGCGGTGAGAGCTCAGTGTACATAAATTGCATGTTTAAATGTCTGTCTTAAAATGATGTGTACCACACCGCTATTTACCCACATAACAGAACCACCATCAAAGCAGAAACCAAGATTCAAATCAGTGGCTTAAGCACTTCAAGAACCTTCAGGGTCATATTTTGCAATGAACTTTAACAACTCCAAAAACGTTCCCTCCATTTAGAGCTTTCTCTGTCTTCCTGTGTCCTCTGAGTGGAACACCTTGTTTAAACATACAGCATATCAACATCCAATACCACTGCTGACGGTTTCTCTTTATAAAAACCACATTCCTAGAGTCATTGTGAATTTGGTTTAATACAGTGCCGACGACTCTGTTGCCCATGGCTTTGCTTGTAAGCTTCTAATTTAGACTGAGCAGCTCACTGATGGCAGATAAATCTGACTTAAATCAGACTTGTAGTAGAAAGGGATGGTGGTAAAGCCGAGCTTGTCTGAGTTATTGCAGTTCTTATTTCACAGCAAAATCAGAATATTTCCGAACCTCAACTCCTCAAGGGACTTAACAGCGGCATTTTAGCTGTGGTCACTCTGGCTAGGCCTGGGCCTACCCCTTGGCTACCTGTCTGGTTCATAGACAAGAGCAGCATGTAAATGAATTTCAGTCACAATGAGAGATTTCACTCATCTAATCAACACAACAATGGAAAGGATGTCCATTCTGTATTACGTACAATTGAAACACCATACATGTGTTTATTTTAGCATAAATCCTCCCTCAGATGCAAATTATGACTACACTAAATCTTACAACTAAGACTTTGTAGATTTGTGGCTGAGCCGTAGCAGAACCCGTACACTTCCCAAAGGTTTCAGGTATCACACGGTCAAGACAGGAATAGGACAACTCACATTTTAAAACCTAAATTATTACAGGCCACTGTCTGAGAAATCATACAGAATGGAGGTTATAACCCCAACTACATAGAAGATACATTTAAGCGTTTTCAAAATTTGCCACAGTTATCCAAAGGCACTCTAGGTATTTGACATTTTAGCTGGACAGCTGTTATTATGCTGCACTGTAATAAATCACATTTTAAAAAGGTATACACTAACCAGGGAGGATGTGTTGGTGGTAGTGGGGCTATGAGCCAGTCCCAGTAACTCCTCCTTTAGGGCACTGGGTAGCAGAAGAAGCTCCATAGTGTACTTATCATCCCTTTCTTCCACAAAGGACTTGAACGCTCGTTTCACTGCGGGCTCTCTGTCGCTAGGCAGACTTCGCTTCTCCTGGATACAACACAAACACAATCACAGGTTTGTAGTGTCCTGTCCCACATAGTGTCATGCTTTAGAATATTTTTTTAATCTGCAGATTAATTTCTCTATTCAATGATTAATCATTTGTGTATTAATGTCAGAAAATAGTTAAAAAAAAAAAAAATGGCCATCACAATTTCCTGTGTGATCACATATAATTAGTACCCATACCTGGAATAGTGCTACAAATTGCTGAACTCTGCTCTGGGCCATCACTACGGGTTCCGCCCGGCCCAACAACCGAAGACGGCCTGGCTCACGCACCACAACTTCAGCACTTGTGTCCCGTATGAGCCTGTCCAGGAAGAGGCCCCGGGCACCAGCAAAAATACAGTGCATGTCCACTGGGTACCTCTCTTCTTTCTGCAGTTCGGGGTCACACAATCCTCGAACATATTCCTGCATGACATGAAAAAGAAAAAAACTGTGATAACAAGTCATTGAACCACTTCTTGTTCTCTCTCTCTCTCTCTCTCTCTCTCTCATTTTAAAAAGAACACATTAGCTACTAAAAATAATTGGGTAAAAACTACAGAAGTCAAACAGGCTTTTTGGTTAAGCAAAATTAAATGTATACATTTATTTTACAGGGTTTGTGCCAATATTGCTGGTATGTGCTCTTTTAGTTCAGAAGAATGTCCCTGCACCCTCTGTAGAGCTGACACATGCTGAAACTTAACACTTGTCACTGATTCAGGGAATATCTTGGCTATGGAAATGTTCGGATGAATCAGCTGCAGGTGGGAGCGGTAACTTCCTTACAGATACAATGTCACATTTCTTTAGCTTTAATGTGTAAAAAGAAAAAAGAAAGGCTCAGTAGTGAGAATGTAAAATGACTCAACAATGACGCAGTGTGAGAATGACACAAATGATGTCAGACATCACAGAGAAACAGATCACAAATATTTGGGTGTGGCTTTTCAAATCCAACAACCAGTAAAATGAGTTGGGAGGGCTGATACTCTGTAATAACAGCATGTGTGCAACATATAGGTGCTGGTACTTAACTAGAAATGCAAACTAGCCAAACTAAAAATAGAAATCTGTTTTTTTAGTTTTGTTTCAGTTTGTTGGAAGCAAGCTCTACTTGGGTTGTTGTAAATCTACTTAATTTTTTTTTTTAAGCATCCAATATATTTATGTATGACATGGTACATGAGTTGAAAGCTTATCAGTAAGTATTTATACAATTGTTGCTTGTCATTTTTCAATTTTGTGAACACAAACAACAAAATTCCAGTGACCTCCATTGTATTGTGGTACAGACACAAAACCTGGGCAAATAAACACAGAAACTACTTGCATGGCTATTTTGGGAAAACCAACCCTTTCACAAGAACTGTTCTACTGCCCAACAAAAATGTTCCCAAATTTCCAGGGTAGTGGTTCTACAGCCTTGTAGAAGGGGATATCATAAAAAAGTTACATAAAAACATGCAAAATTGATAATTTACAAGCACTATTTCTCATTGTTCGCTCTATTATAAAATATTTTATTTCAGTTGTCCCATGACCCAACAACTTTCACCATTTATTCACAATTATATGAAACAGCAGTGGATGTAGACAGGCAGTTGCATCTGCCCATTACACATGACCAAAGAAGTGCATTCAGGTTGATAACTGTTAGAGACTGTACTAGTAAAACACACACCAAATACAAGTAGTTCATTCTGTTCAGGGTCACTTATTACTTGCCTGGGAATCGGACGAATCTGCGCGCTCATGTTTTGTTTGCTCTGGCAGATGAGTCTGGCCGCCCTCATATTCAGACATATCAACCCATCCTGGAACACAACCTTTTAGCTAATGCGGGGCTGGTATGACTGCATAGAGGAACGCAACCTAAACAAACAAGATGGCTGCTGCTAATGTGGAACTGCTGCTGTTGAATCAGCCATCATGTCAGTATTTAAATGAACTAGACGGCATATTTTCTCTAAAAAGAAGAACAAACAACTGCACTTTTGTTGATATGAAAGATGTGTCTGCCGTACTTTAAACAGGAATCGACAAGTTTAATTTACCAACCACACGCTTCATTGTGCCGAATGGTTGTGGGTCTATCCAATTGCATCCAGAAGCATTTAAGCCTGCGCCCGTTGTTAACGGCCCTTGGAAATCAAAAATGTACTGAGAGGTTCCAGGCAAATAATTAGTCTGGTGATGTCATGTAATAACATAATAATTATGGTTATAGATGGGAAACTGAGTGAGTGACCCACATATGTAGTAAGTATAGTAAGAGCAGTAATGTGCTGACCGAAAGAAATCTGACAACAGACTTTCTGTTTCAGTTATGCTCCATTTAACATAGAAACCTCTGAGACCTAAAATCTACTTTAAAAAACAGACTCCTCTTTTGTTTAGTCAAAGACAAAATACACTACAAAGCAAAAGACGGCATATTCAGGTATAAGAACCAAATACTTGGCTGACGTCATTGATTAACTTTAAATAAAACTAAATACAGTCAGTTAGTCACAAACTGTATTGCCCCTTCTTTAAGTGAAGCAGACAGCTTTACATTGCAGACTTGCTGAGCTGTGAGAAGCAGCTGCAAACTGTGGCAGATCGTTGAAAGAGAAAACAACAATTAGGACTACTTTAAATCATGTGCCATGTGTCATTTTTCCTTCCCTGAAACTACATTACCAGAAAGCATGTTGAGGGAATAATGGCAGTTATTTCCCAAACTAGAGGAAGCGCCAACATTACTTTCTATGGTCATGCAGGAAGCCGTTTATGACTCCTGCGTCTTCCTTATGAGTTGAACGGGGCTTGCAGTGAAATTACCATTTCCACATTGCATTCTCGGTTGACTGGCAGAGCTTGGAACAGCTGGTTCAGGAGGAGCAACTTACGCACAAGAGAAAGACCAATGACACAAGATGCAGAAGTGTGAAAAATTGCTCTTGTATGGGAAATCACACAGGAATTTAAAAAATGCTGCAGATGCTGACAGCTATTTTGCATGTGTAAATGTAGTGTATTATCTCTAAATGCATCTCAGCTCAGCTGGTTTTTAAATTAATTGCTGTGTTCTGAGTTGACTTTTGTGTCAGATAATGTGATTTAGTCACACCGAACATTGTCAAGTGGAAAAAAGAGCCTTTGAAGCTATTTGAGATGGTATTCAATTTGGACCTTGACTTTTGGACATCCACAAAACAAAATTCCAAAAATCTTATAAGATAGTAGTTTGTGTGGCCAGAAAATATTAATTTGGAATCAAGTGTTGCTTAAGTAAAACTAGCACAATATAATGTGCTTGATAACTACGCCCACAAAATAATAGAAATTCTACAATGATTGGGAAAGAGAGTTGTACAATATGTCGTAATATACGTGAACATATCCACAAAATGGCAGAATACATTTCCAATAGGGCTGAACAAAACAAATCATTACTTTGACAGATACCGCGATATGAGTCATGATTTTGGTGGGAATGGTAATTTTGGCATTTCATACATCTGGAGAAAATAATTTGTAGGTATCTCTGTAGCAGCACAATGCTTCATTTTGTTGTAACACATTTTCCTTTATCTTAAAAAAATTGCAGCTCCTGTGATTTTGATAATATTTTAATTAATTGTTCAGCCCACTGATTAATTGTTCAGTCAATTTGCATAAATGTATGGTATGGATGGTAGGGACAAACAAAGACTACAGGAATGTATTGTTTCTCATACTGCAGACAACTGAACTCTCAGCTATTTACTTTCTTGTCATCTCTAGCTTATGGTTGCTTGACATCTAAATGAAGACTATACACTTTGTAACACGGACTTTAACTCAGATTAGTTGTCTATTAAAATTAAAGGTATTCTGCTCATTTAAATTTAAGACTTCCACATCATGATATTCTTTAGATTGTCTAGTAATGAGAGACCTGCCTGAAAAATGTTGTTATTGCGATGAATTTAGCTTCCATTTCATGGAATATCTGATCTAAATTAGGGGTGGGTGATATTATGTTTAAGAAAACCCTGTCAGTTTTGCGGATGTGGTGGCTAAGGGGGAAGAGACATTCATTGTTTAACTACATATCCTAGCTTCAACTTTAACAAAGTTATCACTTTGTGTGGTGCAGCATTTAATAAACACAAAGAAAACACAAACATAAAAATCTAAATACGACCTTCTCCCCCACCTCTGATGTTATCTAAATTAGATATGCTGGTGGGATGTGTGATATAACAGCACAGACTGGTGCCAATCACGGGACACTAATAACTTACACCCGTTCATCAGCCAAAAACAAACAGGCAGTGGGCGGTAACGTTACTGCCAGCATGGTGGTTATTCGGTGTTATATTTTATTAAAAACAACTCCTTGTCACAGTGGACTGTTGGTTTATTTAAAAAAAAAAAAAAATGTAAGTGAAACAGCACTACGGCACCTCACCTTTGCATTTGACACGTCTTCTCTGTTTCCTCTGAGCTGCAGCCATATCTGCCGTAATGTTTTGCTACCGTGCGGCTGTCCCGTGTGGTCCAACAGACCGATAATAGTGAACGTTACTTTAAAAACCTGCTCTACTCGAGGCTTGGCACATTTCAGTTCGTCTTCTTTATCCTCTAGCACTGTAAACTCGTCCACGGTGGGGGCCTCCGGCTGCTGCCTCCCGGCGGGCGCAGGGAGCCTGCTGGTCGGCTGCTCCGGGCACGTTAGCTCGGTGACTCGTCTCATTCCGAGGAGGGGCCGCGTTGTTGACATTCCGCCTCTCGCTCTTACCGTCGCTCCAGACGACGACGTCTCAATATTGAAACCTTTCGGCGCTGCTGGGGGCCTTTGGCGTTTTCATGGTCTCGTTTGGGATGTGCTCCGAGCGACGAAGGGGCGTTTATAGCGTCTGGGGACATGAACACAGAGGTAACACTAGCTTAATAACTCGGAAGCCCCGAGTGACGTATCCGGAAAGTCCCAGTGATGGCGTCATCAAAACACGACAGTTAAGCGTGCTCTCTTTAGTCCAAAGATGTTTATCGGTCAAGGTCTTGTCAACACAGTGAAAAGAAGACGCACATTTACGACAGAAATCCGGTTGATGAAGATCCTGTTAGATTACACTATTTTGTTGTTCACCAGTGGCCAGAACGCGTTTAGACAGCATGTCTATGTGAGAATACGAGAGCAGCTGATTGCTGGTTGGACGCTCTGCCCTCTCGTGGTTGTGTGAAGTTATTGCATGTTGCAGTTGGTGCAGGAGGGCTATGGCAAATTCAGCCTTGTGGATTACTAACCAAGGCAAGTGAGGCGATTGACAACAAAAAACCAGTTTCATTGGATGAATTGCAAATTTGCACCACTAAAGTACAACATCGGCTAAAGCCTGCATTAGTAGCTTATTTTGTGGCCATGTCTTGTATAGGGAGCTGAGTCAAAATGTAGTTTGAAGAGCCTAACCATTTTAGGTTGTATTGCTCATGTGATACAATAAACCGCTTATCCTGTGGACACATATACAAACAACCTCTCTCCCTCACACCTAAGGGCTATTTAGAGTCACCAATTAACCTTGTCTGAGTGTCTTTGGAAACCACAGAAAGGCAGCTGGAACGACAAAGGTTCGAACCCAACCAACTTTTGTTAGACTATGCTATAGTAAGACCCATTAACCTACCTAAGGAGAGGCCTAACCTTACTTCATTAAAGACATCACTGGTATCATTATCTGGTACATTAGACTTAATTTCAAAACATGTTCTGTCTAGAGTCATTATAAATGAGTCTGTCAGAGTGAATTACCTTCTCCGTATGGAAGGTTTGGACTTTTAGATGGCAAAGTAACATCATTTTCATTGAGAATTAGGTAGACCTTGCTGTTAAATCTCTATTGATAAATGTTTTAATATTGTAATTCCTAGCAAGGGAATTAGAAATACTACCTAAAAATTCAAAGTTTATTGGGGGGCCAAATCATTTTGATGAAGGACCAGATTTAGCACATGAGACTGGTATTTGCCAATCCCTTAGGGCAAGGCATGCTAAACATGAGATCACAGAGACTTTTGACAGATCCGGTAAGAATCAATTAAAATGAACATTATTATAATAGGCTGAATGTGGATTAAGTTAGACATGGGCTGGAACTAGGGACATAACTCGACACCACAGAAATGCCATTTGGGCTCAGTGGAGGGGATTATTATTTGTGAACAAAAACAGGTCGATTTAAGGTGTTCGAACTATCAGTTCTGCCTTGGAAAGGACAGTAACAAACAGCCTTCTGGTAGGTTAACAACTGTTTTACCTAGACCTTCAGATTTAGCCTCCATGTACCAATTCTGTGATGTAAAAAAGTAAAAAAAAAAATCTGACATGTTTTAAGAGAAACTGTGTGACAGAGACTCACAAACCCAATAAGGAACAGAAGAAAAGAAGAGAGATAATGAGAGCTACATAGAATGAGAGAGAAATAAGAGAACAGACAGATGAAGTAGACAGTGAAAAAGAGAGCATAAAGACATATTGCTGTTACCCACAGCACAGCCTTGAGATGGAGCTTGCACACACTCCTACACACACTGAAAACATATTTTCTGTTTTCTGTTTCCTGACTGAAAACATCACAAACTGGCATGGGATGTGCACAGCCCAGGACCGGAGGGCTCAGCAGCGGGTGAAACTGCTCAGAAGATCATTGGTACCCATCTCCCGAGCATCAGTGGTATCGGTGAGGTGAGGTGCTTACGCAGAGCCCAAAGGATACTAAAGGACAGTACCGAAGTACAGAAGGGAGAGACAAACTCAAATCCAAAGTGTGTGTATTACTTAATATATAGAATCAAAAGTCAAGATGTCCATTCTAAATGTTAACAGAAGTGATTTTTCAACCTTGTGAATGTGTAAAGGTGAGATGATATCAATACCCATGTTTTTAACGATGGTAAACCAAAACAAGATTGTGAGAAACATCCGCCTGACATGAAACCACTTGAATTAGTCACACTTATGTAAGTTCTTGTTTTTCTTCACAGCTTACAAAGCAAACAAGAAGCAACCAATTTGTCAACTTTAATTACAAATGGAAGACAAGTGACACCATCTTATATGGAATTAATTCTGAGCTGCTCTGCTGCCAGAGATGGTCATTAATTCTGTACAGATGCTACTGTAGCATCTTGTGGTAATAAAATAAAAAATGTTTCATATAAACCTCGTTCTGTTGTGCAGAAAATGTTTTCCCTCCTCCCCCTCTGGAGTCATTCTGTATTTGTTTTGACAAGGAAGAATGATAGGTGGACAGAGGCCTTTGTTGAGACAATATGCACCGCGAAGTAAGCAAATGTGAAGTTAAAATGAAGCAGTTTAAATGATGGAAATGGAATAAGATGTTATGATAGTAACAAAATAAAAGGCACTTTATGTTGTAAATACGGCTGGGCATGTTAACGCTTCAATACCGCGTTTTATTATATTTTGAAAGTCCGTTGCTCACTGGCTGTGGGTAGCCTACACATACAGTCAAAACATGGGTCACAGGAGGGGCGGGGGTTGATCAGCCTACAAATCACTCATCCATATTTTTCCACCCGCAATCCTTTATCAGCAGTAGGCAGCAGGTGAGCCGCTTGCTTGTTAATGACGCAGCCTATCAAACAACTCAGCCGAAACCAACATCTGCACCCTGTGTTCAATGTTGCTTGTAAAATATCCACCACGACTTGTAACTCATTTCAAGTTTTTAACCAAGTAAAGTTCTTGCGAGTGAACACATGCACATATGACGAACGCTACAGGTAGGTATAAGTTTAGATAATATTTTATTGCTGCTAAATGGAATACTGCTGGTAAAAAGCACATTATTTGTTTAAAGTGTTTGCAAACCACATGTTATTACACTTTTCTGTATATAGCAGTATATTTAAATTACCTACAAATGCGCAATACACTGCTTTAGAATTCATTATTCAATTTTGCACGTAACAATGCGATTAATCGCGATTAAAAATTTTAATTGTTGCCCAGCACTAGTTGTAAAGCAATCATCCTGTAAAAACTGTACAATTTTTTCGCCTCATTTATGGAAACTACCTACAAAACCTGCATGTGCAAGTCCATGAAAATGAAACCCCTCACTCAGCTCTTCTCTAACACGACATGCGTTATTGCCCAAATGTTTTCTGCCATCTTTCCTTCATCAGGGTGGTATCTGACGTGGTTATTGGTTTCTTTATATATTGTCATGTGACGTGATCATCACCATCTATCCATCGTCAACCGCTTATCCTGCGTACACCGTCTTTGGACGGTGGGAGGAAGCTGGAGCTTCCGCACAGAAAGGCCGGGTAAACCGGGGTTTGAACCCACCATACACAGTACAAAACAGAAAATTATATACTTTTCACACTGAGTTATGTATATTGTTTTTCATACTCTACTGAAAAGTCAATCTACAGTTCACAATCCTATATTACCATTAAAAAACAGCTTCAGTCCATGTTTTTCATGGAATTGTAATTATTTGCTATTGAAAGGGAAGGAATCACTGTCAAAATATGTTTGATGCCAAATAATAAAGGTGTAAATGTTTCCACAAATATGACATGATATGAGGATGATTGTAGTCTGAGGGCATATTTTAGTCCAAATATTTATGCTGTAAACTGCATAGCAAGTAGGTTAAAGAAAGTTAAAGCAAGTACTGCAAATCAGCATAAATATTAAACAGAAAATTGACGATAAGATATTAAAAAAATATTACATAAAAATTACATTATGACTGTTATTTAAATCAAAGAGCTGAACAGTTTTGTGCAGGAATGTGCAAATTATTCAACAGGAGATGTGAAAAATTTCATGGTATGAACTATAAGAGTACTTACAATGTGTGCATTAAGGTTAAATAATGAGTCAAGTGTGCTGAGTTGTAGTGGGTGCGGTAGGTATGACAGTGGTTCTGGGTCCTGGGCCTTGTTGATGGCACAACTGTTCATGTGCCATAAGTTTGTGTCTGGGGTGGGAAGGTCGGCCACAATCTTTCCTGCATGCCTCAGGATCCTAGAGGCGGAGCGAATGATATGCTGCGGTCTGCCCTTGTCCTTGGCAGTGGCAGTAGCTTACCAGATGGTGATGGAGAATGTAAGGATGTACTTAGTGTTGGTGGTGTAGAAGTGCGCCATCATTGTCTTTGGAAGGTTAAACTTCCTCAGCTGTGACAGGAAGTAGCTCCCATTGAGGACATGATGATGGTGCCCAGGAGGCAGAAAGACGCAACAGTGTTGTTCGGGAGTCACACAGCGTGATGGGGTTGGGTGGGACTGGGCTCTTTCTGAAATTCACTATTATCTCTCTGTCTCTGTCTGTGGCTGTTGTAGATGCAGTGTTAACCCCAGATTATCTGATTGGCCACCGCAGTGTAACGTTGTTTTGCGTTTCTCCAAAAGTTAACTCTGTTTCAACTTTTCTCCCCACCGCCGCAGCCTAAACACATACCCCCTTTCAAATGAATGGGAGGACTGGCATTTTCTAAAATGTATAAAAACTACATTTTTACTTATCAACATGCATATATTTTTTAGCAGTTAGGCTAACACAATTCATTGTTTATCCCCATTTTCCTATGACACTTTTGTTTGCATCCATTCATTGATTGGACCACATTATTCATTATTGTACATTACATTATATTATCATCATTATTATTGTTATTATTATTATTATTATTATTATTAATAATTCATAATGTATATTGACGCATAGACTAAGTTATCTTTATTTCTTTTCTTAATAGTCTAGAATTTATATCGTATATATTTATGTTTATTATTTAACATGTTTTACAATTTTAAAAGTATACTACCCAATGAAATTTAAGTGTAACTCACTCAAAGTTACTAAAACTTGCATACAGAGTGACTACTGGGTCTGCACCCATCTACCTAAACTCCATAATACAAGCCTATGTTCCTTCTTGGTCACTGCGC